ATGGGTTGGTGAACAATCTATTTCTCTCTTGCAATTTTCCTTATAAGCTGCGTTGCAAACTTCCCTCTGAATTTAGTGCGTTGCACATTTTTTAGTGATAAAATTTCTAGTCTTTGTGTGTAAATATTAGGAATCAATATTTAGTCTTTATTCTTTCCTGATGTAGTAATGGGTCTTTCTCCAATATAAGAAGACCTAGGTGGCGCATATTTGAATAACATACCCCTAAATTTAAGATGGTATTAGAGAGGAGGTCCTTAGTTCAAATGTCCACTGTAATGATATTTTCTCCCAAATTAAGAACACAAGGGCACGGTTGCACAACCTATAAAATAGATTTTGTTTAAATAAGCTCGTTAAAATTCTGCAATCTTTCTACTCCACAGAATCCACAAAATAGCTCATCTCGGTTTTCTTTCTTCTAAGTTTCTATTTGTATTCAGAATAAAGCAACATCCTCCATAATATTTCTCTATCTTAAATGATAACCACGCAAAAAAGCAAATAATCCTCAGTCCCAACCATTCCTAGTTGCTATGTATCATCTTCGTTAACAAGAGAATCTTAAATCATGAAGATTAGACCCCATTTGAAAACCACTTGGTTTGTGGTTTCTGAAAAGTAAACCTATAATTACTATTTCCATATATATGTTATTTGTTTTGCTATCTACTTTTTACATATGTCTTAAAAAATCAAGTCAGGTTTTGAAAACTAAAAAAGTAGTTAAAAAAACTTGTTTTTGTTTTTGGAATTTGGTTAAGAATTCAAATGTTTTCTTAAGAAAGATGAAACTAATTTCAATTATGAGAAAAACCAGCACAATTTTTAAAAACTAAAAAACAAAAGTCAAGTAGTTACCAAACGAGCCCACCAATTTCACTGCAGAACTAAGACAACATCACAATACCAACTTGAGGGTATTACCGAAAGCCATATATAATAAGAAAAATTATCTTTAAACCACAACAAAAAAATGTAGAGGAAGATTCGATAGAAGAAGCATCATTCCGATCAAATGCACCATATGGAAACTAACAAGTATCATTAGTTTATATTTGCAAATGAATATATTAGAAATTGTAAAAAAATCAACGGAAAATGCTACGAATGAAAAGGTTCATAAGAATTGACGAGATGCTAAGCAAAAATTGATTACTGCTATAGTTTACCTTGCTCTTTTGCACTCTAACACGAACTCGAATCCCAATTTCTTCATCTCCTTTAGCCTTTAAAAGAAGGAAGCACACAGCATAAGGCTTGCCTCAATCGGATGTTATGACATTAATGCAAATTGTAATTGCTTCTGTACTTTCTAAATGAGAGTTCAATTTGTCTTTAAAAGAGAAGGAAAAACTATTAATTGGTTCAGATAAAGCAAATAACAGAGAGCATTCTTACAGACTTGAGCTTCCCAGTCTGACGTATTTCAAGTCGAAGCGAGGCAAAGAACTTTAGTGCAATTCCTCCACTTGTCACTTCTGGGTTCCCATAATACACACCAATCTAATAAAATTAAGAACAGCAATATCATTATGCTTGCAAAAATATTACATATGAGGATATTGATACAGTACTAATAATAAGGTTAAGAGTAGAATTCTCACACAGGATGCAAATACATGATAAATTCAGTTTAACCTGGCTTGGCCAAACAAACTGACTCTGATATTTATTTTGTTTATTTAATTCTGAGAAGAAACACAATCATTATAAAATTACAAATATATAGAATCCTTTTTAAAAAATTAAATCCGTGAAGGAAAAATAAAAACTAAATCTTAAACCTAAAGAAAGCCCCCATGGAAATTGACCCTGTGCCATTACCATGCACAAAATTTACCCAACGTTGAAGATAGAATTATTAAACCTAATTGAAGAATGAAATAACCTTATATCGTATTTGATTCAAAAAGATGAGAGTGCAACCAGCTTTTGAGGCATTTCCAGACATTTTACGAAGAGCTTGACTCATAAGCCGTGCTTGCAGACCCATTTGCTGCATGCCAATCTCACCCTACAAAGCAAGGATAGGAAATATAAGATTAGCAATCTTACAAGAAAGCTTTAGAAACTCAAGAAGGTCATAAAAATTACTTCAATTTCTGCTCTTGGCGTTAGAGCAGAAACAGAATCAACACAAATGAGATCTACAGCACCAGATCTACACATGCGATCTGCAACTGATATAAGAATATCCATCCATTAATACACATTTGTCACAAGCATACCACAGCCAAAAGGCACGAGCACTATTTCATTCAAGAAAATCGTGAAGCAAACTAGGAAATATTACTCTCAAGTGCCATCTCTCCATGATCAGGTTGGCAGACAATCAAATTTTCTACATCCACTCCCACAGCTTTAGAATATGCTGGATCAAAGGCATGCTCTGCATCCACAAGCATCGCATTTCCCCCTAGTTTCTGCATGTCACAACTGAATAGGTACTAATTCTCATAACAGAAAAAACTAGCATGTTCCTAGTGCCTCCTAGCATCTCAGCAAATAAAAAAAAAAAAAATAGCAGTGAGAAGTAACAATATATGTATATATATACACACACGCATGTACCTGTACTTCTGCAATTGCATGCAATGCTAAAGTGGTCTTTCCACTACTTTCTGGTCCAAATATCTGGAAAAAGAATGATGAAATAATTATTTTGTGACTCTAACTTGTTTGGCTAAACACGTGAAGGGGAGATAGATAATTTTGTTCATAGTTTCCGCATAGTATATTATTTTTCTCCCAACCAGGCTCAACAAAATTAAGGTATGTACTATTGTAGTGAGCTAGAGATTACGCTCATTACAAAGCAAATTGACAATTTCCATCTAACTAAAATAGCCCACAAATTTGGTAGGCCAATTTCCTCAACTTGAAAATTTTCCTTTACCTTTATACCCCAACCTCCAAGTACAAGTAAACATACCTCAACAATTCTGCCTTTAGGAAGGCCGCCGCCTAAGGCGCAGTCTAACGTCAAACAGCCACTTGGGAAAGTTTCCCTGTAAGGACAGAAGATAACAGAAATTTAAACCTGACAAGCAAAACTAACATTAAACTTGCCACTTCAAGAAATGAAAATTTTCCCAACGTAATTTTGCTAAAAAAATTTCGAACCAGCCAACTGCGGTAGTAAATCTACAAAACTTAAACGAACCATTAAAACCCTGTTGACCAGTTGAAAAATTTCAACTTTTACGGTCTTCTCGGGAAAAATAAAATAAACAAAAAGGACATACACTAACGCTCCTCCAGCACTTCCGAGTCGTGTAACACTTCCTTTCCCAAATGAGCTATTTATGTCATTCATTGCTGCTTCCAATGCCTTTTTCTAGGACGACATAAACGTTACAATATCTGAGAAACTAATAACTCATAAGTAGATAAGTGCTGGAAAAGCAACATAATCACAGTAAACAAATATAGTCAAATATTAGATTCGCAGATGGTTTTTTCTCCCCCTGCGCCCAATTGTGTCGTAATGACGTTGCCTCCCTTTCTATTTATCACCATTTAACAACTGACAACCCTAACAAAACAGGGTTCCAACTTGATACGCAAACTCGATTGAAAAAAACTTGATACACGAATTAGATTAGAAAAACTCGATACACGAATGAAAACAAACCACGAAAAGTGAAATAAAAAGCATTGCAAACATTTCAGACCAAAAATTAAAAAAACAAATTAGTACAAGCTGCAAATGGAAAATTCATAGAAAAATGAATCGCATGAGTACCCTGTCGACGGAGCGAGGATCAAAGTCGCCGGAAAGAGCTCCATTAACATTAACGTCGAACTCGCAACGAAGCTTTCCAACTCGCTTGCCTGTATTGGACAGTGAAAAGGGCGAGAAATGGCGGCGGCGAGAAGATGCTGCGCATGGCGGGAACAGTGTCCGGCATGGAAGAGTCTTGCAAGCCAGTGGATTCGAAATGAAATCCATAGACAAAGGTAAGCGAAGCGTAACCGAGAAGCAGTGAGTAAAGAGTGAAGGGAGGCGCGCAAGGGTTTATTTATAGAACATTTTTCCCTTTGACCGAGTCAAATACGTGACTACGCGGAACAATTATTATTATTTTCCTTTTCTTAGTTCATTAAAATAAACAGTAAATCGAGCGTTAAATTATTTTCCTTTGCAAAAGAAAAGGATTTCACATTCAAAAAAAAAAAAAAACGAAACTTTTTTATTTAAATTAGGTTAAATTTTTAAAAAATTGAAAATTTTGATTTGGTTTAAACTTTTTTTTTTCATTATTGCACAAAAATGGTATGCTCAACCATCAACTAAGTAGTCATGCCTATGCAAATAAGAGGCATCACGTTAAAGGGGGAAGAAGAAGCATTCTACACAAAACCAAGAAGTCATGCCTAAGCAAATAAGAGGCATCACGTTAAAGGGGGAAGAAGAAGCACTCTACACAAGTGAAAGTCGGAGCAACAATAAGTCGTCTACCAAACATGGATACAAAAATGATGACAAAGGAAGAAATCAACAACCTAAAAGAGTTAAGAAGAACAACAATAAAAGTTCTCAAGAGAAAAAATTTGAAGGTATTTGCTAGAAGGGTCACATGTTCAAGGATTGTTGTTCCAATAAAAAGTATGTCGAAAGCATGGAGAGATGCACTACCACTTCATGAGAAAGCCCAGAAGGAAGAAATCGAGAGTCAGCATGAGATAAAGGAGGACTAATGCTGAATAAATATATACATACACATACATACATACACACACACATATATATATATATATATATATATATATATATATATATATATATATATATCACTTCAAATTTTTGCTATAATTATGGAAAAAAAAAAAAAAAAATCAAACATTGAGTTCATGAGCACTCACATGATCAGTTTTACTGTTACAATTCATCAAAGCCATGAATTAGGCTTTAAAAAGTACCCCACATATGCAATAAAATTTACACTTGGGAAAAAAAAAAAAAAAAAACCTTTAAACTATACATCAATCTTATGTTTCTCCATTTTCCTCCCGAGTCATCTGTTCCATAAGCTGGCTATGTCATCTCCAACCTCAGATAAGAAGCTATCAGAGCTGCCTTCTCCCATGCTGGGTTGCCCAATGAATGAATTGCCATTTGTTTCCATCTTAGTAATGTTATTTAAAACAACTTTGAGAACTTTTGAGTCACAGCCAAACGGGTCTATATTTGAAGAACAAGTGCTTGAATTTGGCATTCCTCCAAACACGGTGGTAAAGTTCTTGATGTTCTTAGCTGGGTTTGGCTCCATTTGAATGAGGTTTGAGAGAGGTGGGGTGGTTTGGTTTTGAGAGAAAATGGAGAAGCAGGGCACTTGCTCATACTCATTTAGATGACTGCTTGGATTTTGATCAAAACTGATGTAAGAATCCATTAAACCCGGGAGAGATGACGAGGCAGCGACGTCGTTGTAGCAGCTGCTGCTTCCCGTGCTCGGTTGAGTGGTAACTTCCTTGTGTTTGAAGAACAGTCTGCACAGAACCCAGTCCTCCTGTGCACACAAGCAAAACAAGCCACAACAGTGAAAAACAACAAATGCAGACTTTATCTGTTGGATTCAAAGTCTCCGAGAAGTTGCTATCATCTATTTAATTAAGTAAACTAATCAGCGCTTCGACGTAACGCAATCCATTATTATGAACAAGAAAATCTTTCTTCATCAGCTATCAACATTATTATAAATTTTTGAAGAAAGTCATCCCATGGCAAATAAGACAAAGTTGACTTCGGTGAGGGAGATTTATAAAGAAAGACTTCAATTCAAGACGAACAAGCCAACGAATATGGTAATCCTCTAAATACAAGTTGCACCCACATGTTATTTTTAGCATGTCCAAGTCAAGCCAATATAGGCTTTGAAAAAAGGGCAGAGAAAATTTACTCTCATAATCTCCCTCAATTGAACTGATATTAATCTTTGTCTGACTAAAATGACACATTGTAGGGAGAAAATTCAAGCCTAAATTAGGGAGTCTCAACCCCAAATCTCAAATCAACAATAGAAATTTCTAGCTAAACAAAGGTAGTATACTCAACAAAACATAACAACGAGGTGAATCCACGTCAATTGACAAAAGAGAACACAGAAAAAGCTCAACAAATTCAGACATTTTTTACGAGGAGGGCATGAAAGAACAGGGGAGTGACAGAATTCATTTAAATTAACAACAAAATTTCTAGCAAAACCATCGCTATTAAGTGATTAACCAAGCCCATACATTCATCAAAACATAACAATTAGTTGATTTCACGTCAGTATACATAATAATAACACAAAAAAAGGCTAAAAAATTCACACAGGCATTTTTACAAACACTTGGAGGGCAAGGCAGAAAAGGGCACAGATGAATCTGAATCCAATCAACAAAAGAACTTCTAGCTAGACCATCAGTAATGAGTTGATTAAGCAAGGCAATATTCACAAAAATAAAGGAATAAAGAGACAGCATTGATTCATACCTTTGGAGATGAGTCTTTGAGAGGAGAAAGGGGGCCTTCAAGACGAAATTCATGCATAACCCACTCAGTTTTTCGGCCTTTAGGGGCCCTTCCTTGGTAGAAAACAAGGGTTTTTCTCATGCCAACAAGTTGATTGGCCTTGTGAAAGATGGGCCTATCCTTGCCAGTGGCCTTCCAATACCCTGAGGCTGTGGCGCGGTTTGTTCTAAGCCCAGTCGCGTACTTCCGGTCCCGCTGGCTGAAGAAGTACCACTCCTTTCCCCCCACGCACGCCTCCCCTATACAAAATTTATAATAAACCAAAAACATGATTAAAAATTTAGGTTAAATTATTTATTAAAATTTTCAATTCCATTATCAATATTTGAGCTTAATTTTAATTTAATTATTAAATCCTTTTTTTTATTTATTTATACGATTGTGAGTCAGTATGTTCGATGATCGTAATAAACTTCAAACATACATAAATAAAGCACAAAAAAATTATTAAATGGAAGAAAATAATATACGAATAATAATAAGAATTAATCGAATTAATTTTTTTTTGACCAAGAACTAAATTTTTATTTCACCAAATATTTATATTATAAATCAATATTACAGGGTGGGTTATAGAAGACTAATTATTAACCCAAAAGTTTTTTTTTTTTTTTTTTTTGTGTGTGTTTTTAAATTATTTCAAATTAATTGAAAATCAATAATGTTCAAATTATTTAATTCAAATTTTACAATTTAATAAATTATCTTATAAATTGAAAGAGATTTATGAAAGGGCAATAAATTAAATTTTATTCAATTTGGCATTTTCTTTTATTTATTTATTTATTTTTGGCTTAAATGACAATGCATTCAAAAGTCTTGAAATAACTAAAAAAAAACACAATAAGTCAAATGAAAAATACATCTAATTAAATACAATATTATTGTAAATTAAATATATTTTTTAAAAAAACTAGTTGATATTATATAAAAAAAACATCTAAAAGTCAAATTAATCTAATTTTTAAAATTTAATAAGACAAATCATTAATATTTAAAATGATAATTAATGTTTTATTCAGGATCATTTGATACTTAGCACAGAAAGAAACTTTAGCAAATGAGTCATCACGGATCAACCATATCTAAATTATATGCATAGTTCAAGTGTCGTTATCGATCCATGCAAAGAATTATTGGGAATTAAAAAATTCACATTCAATAACGCTCGAAGATTAAAAATAAAAATAAATAAAAAATAAATAATTAAAAAGGGCATATGCATGCATGAAAGTGACAACCCTAATGGGATTTGGTAAGGATACAAAATTTAATTATTGGGGAAAAGAAAAAAAAATGGATTTTTCTAAATTATAAATAATTAATGAAATATAATTTAAAATTTACATATTGCAGGTCTGCTATTGGGTGGGAACAAAGAACAACTTGATGATATTTTGGGTTTATTTTTATTTTTATTTTTATTTTATTTTTGTTAATAAACTGCCAAAATGTCTATTCCAACTGCATTTACTTTTGAATTTGGATTTTTTTTTTTAATTATTCAATTATATTATCCATATTTATTTATATAAATATAGGTAAATTACCATTTTGACCTATTTATAACAGTTTTTCCTTTAAAAAAAATGCAACATACCGAACATCACTTGGAAAAAAAAAAATTGGTAAGAAAAAATAAACCATAAATTTACAGCATGGTAATTTTTTTTAACTTTTCTTATAGAAGTTACCTCAAACTAAATCTCATTCTATTTTTTTGTTTTTTTTTTTTTTTTTTTTTTTTTTTTGTTGTTTAAGTTTCGGAATTTTAAAAACCTTTTAAATCACACACTTTCCCATATAAATTCAAACAAATAGAACTTAGATTTAAAGAGGTCGATCAAAATAAAACGGGATTTTGATCTTAGATAAACTGAATTTTTAGGTTTCGAAATCGCAAAATCCATTCAAACCACACTTTTTTATTTTCGCAAATCAAGATCTAAAAACACGACACAAATCAGATCTTTAAACTCGAGCTTTAAAGATTCAAAATCTGAGAAACCTTTCAAATTACACACTTTTATCTTCAAACTTGACCCATATAAATTCGAGTTTTCAGAACCCTCATGCATTCAAATTCGTATAATAAACACGAGCCACACAAATTCCAACTCACTAGAATCATATACAAAACAAAGCTACCTCAAATCAAACCCTGTTTTACTTTCATCGACTCTCAGTTACGTCAAATCAAATTTCGTTTTATTTTTATCGAGAGGCAGAAACCTGAAATCTAGAAAATATAAATTAAACGTCACAAAGTAGATGAATAAATTAAAGGTTACTAAAGAAGAAAAAGAAAAAGAAAAAGAAAAACTTACTTGGAATATCCCAGGGCTCACACTTGTTGAGGTCAACTTCAATGAAGAGAGAAGAAGAAGAATGAGGAACAGACCCAATTTTGTTGATCAGATAATCACACACCAATTCTTCGTCTCTTGGATGGAACCTGAAACCAGGAGGAAGCTTGGATTCCACCATGCTTATGTTCTTCTTCTCCATTTCTTCTCTCTCTCTCTCTCTCTAGAAACCCAGTTCTCTTCTGCAAACTCTAAGAAGAACAAGAAGAAGAAGAGGAGAGAGAAGGGGAATTGAAGAAATAAAGTTTATATGAACTATCATTTTATATATATATATATATATATATTATATGGAGGATATTAATTTATTTCTTGTGGAGAGAGAGAGATGGGCTTTGAATGTCATCAACTGATTGGTCAAACCATCTCAGGGCACATTTAAACAAAAAAAACATCCAATTATATGGCGTAATATCTTATTATTTTTATTTTTAGTTAATTAATTTTATGAATAAAAATATTTTATACTCTTTTTAATGGTTACAGATGAATTAATTCTAAAAAAAATTCAAATTTATGAAATTAAAAGTTTTAAGTTTGTTTAATAATTATTAAGAATATATTATAAAATCGTAGTATTTATCAAAAATTAAATTGTTATCAAAGGGAGATTTTAGAGACCAAGGCCTATTCACGCACATCCCCACCTGTTCCTGTTCCGCCAAAAAAAGTATACCTATTGCACGACTCACATCTCTTAGCTCGTACACTAAAACCATTATTATCCTTAAAAGTTGGTCTCTCTTTTCTCAATTTGACCACGCGGTCAAAACTCTCCTAAGATCCGCTTTGTGACATGAAATTATCTTGAGGTAACAAGATCTTGCTCCTCCTCCTCTCTTTTGTTTCTTTTTTATTATTCGAGCCTATTCCAAAGGAGAAGATCTCGTAGGCCGAGGGATCTATAGAAAAGATCAAGAACTAAATAGATACAAATTTCAAAGTTTATCGATGAAATTTATAATTTAAGAATTTTTAATTAATTAAAAATATATATGAGAGAGAATTTGGTTTGGTTTGAAGTTATGGAAGGGTCTGTTTGGAATTTAATGGTGTGTCAATATTAATAAAATTTTGGATTATGCAAAGAGTTGGGCACCTGAATCTAACCAATCTTCATATTTAACTTGTGCAATATTCTAACCTAAATATCTGGCTGCTAAAATCTTCATGCCTCCCCTTATATTTTTAATCCCTTAATTTAGGGACAAAATTAAATTTGAATAAATGGTTGAACTCTAATTTGGCTTCTAATTGTATCAATTATTTTTGTACTAAAATTATTAAGTATAACAATATATTAACTTAAACATATTTTTGTTAATGGATATTTTTTTATATTTATTTAAAATATGAGGATCTCTTCCAAACCGAGTGGGGAGAAAATTTTCTACATTAGTTAAACAGGAATAGAGATTAAATTTCCCGTCCCCAACTTCATCCCACAAAAATCTCCCACCTTGTACATCCTCTTAGAAAAACAAAATTAAAAGGACTCTCACCTAGTTTGGCTGATTAACCTCTAAAGGTTTGGACGTGTGAATCGGTTGGATTTTCTTAATTTTCAAATATTTCATCAACACTTTTATTTATTTTCTATTATTTATAATAAACTTATTCCTAAAAGAAACTTATGGTCAACCATCCATATACATTTTTCATACAGAACCACTCAATATTGGTGCGTATTTAACACAAACATGAAAACGCACATACAAACATGAAAACATATGAACAATACAGGTAATAAATACAACATATACCAACATATATGTATATGTGTATATATAAACATGCACATCACCCATCTATGTATAGAATGCCTACCTAGATATGTACAAACAATAATCCTATCAATAACTCATATAGATTAGACTATATAACTCCTAACATCTTTTATGTACATAATATATACCATACAATAACTCAACATTATCTTGTTCTCGTTATCTTCCTTGACAATAGTCTTTTCTTATGAATTTCTTTTCGTTCGTAGTTTTCTCTTTTCGTTTGCCATTGTAGACATTTAAATACGTCTAATTAAATGGTATAAAAAGTCAAGAGTTTAAATTAAGAAAAATAAGTCTTATGAGTCGTCATTTTCAAAACTATTGACAATTAAAAAAAAAATCTTTAAAAAAATGGAGTTTTAGAATCGAAGAATGGGAATTGTGATCTAAAATCTAAAATTATAGTCCTAGAATGCAAAGAAAATGAATGCAACAATGTTCAATTAATCAAATCTCGAGTTTGTCCAAAGAATCATAAGTCTTGATGAGCATAGCTTAATTGAATGTACATACCTTTAAACGGTGATTCATGCATGAAAGTTCAGTGGCCAATGAAGAAGACGAGTTGTAGGAGACAGATGCTCATCATTCAAAAAGAGTAAGCTACAATGACAAAGAATTAAACACATTCTAATTAAAAATATATAAACAGAACTATTATTATATTAAATTTTATAAAATAAAGACAAACCATGGGCAAACAACTTTTTAATGTAAAAAAAAAAACATGTCAAAGGAAAAATAAAATAAAATTTTAAGGAATAAAATAAAAAAAACAAATTGCATACTAGATTATCACTGAATTTTCCTTCTTAATTATCAAAGGTAAAGATTAAATTGGTATAGAAAAATTAAAAAAAGAATAAAAAAACTGGTCGAAAATTGGTATAATTCAACCGATAAGCTACTAATAGCCTTCTAAAATTTTCAACTAATTAAGCGAGGGACGACTTCTGTCTATTTATTGATAAGCTACTAATCTTTTACCGACATTAAAGAAAAAAAGAAAAAAAAACCTTCAACCCTTATCTAAACTCCATCAACATCCTAGGCCTTCCCAATCCCAATCCAATGCTTAATAATTTTGATTAAGACAGAGAGACATCATCATCCCATTCCATTATCCAAATGAATTAAAACCTTTCAACACATAATTCCTTTGTAGATATACTCAAACTTTCCCAAAAGCTAAAGGATTCCACACAAACAAACAAACACTGAGAAAGATTTCTGGATACCAAAGGATTCCATTGTAATAGAACTGACCAATCCCCGCTCCTCCATAAACTCGAGTAAGAAGACATCGAAGGAAAAAGTCTCAGACTTTTCCATTTTATCAGACATATGAACCTTAGAAATGCTCTTTTTAGAGGAGTGGGATTTTAATAACCTAGAATGTGCCCGCCTTACCGCTCGGCCATGCCGCCAAAACGATACAAAATATTGGTTTGACAAGTTCATATGTAGTTAGTTTGACACCAGCCATTTTAAACTGTACCATCTTTGTTTTCTACTAAAGACAAGAGATGACTACGTACCTTTCTACTGATAGCAACTCCCCTTCTAATTCTTTCATCCGCTGGTCTCTGAAATTGTACTCCAGCCATATCCTTAATGGAAAGAACAAGAGAATCTAGTGCTATTCCGCGACAAAATAGTATTCAAAATAGAGATATGTATCCCACACACTGAGGAACTGCGATATGTTTAACTAAAGAAGCCGTACCATACTGAAATTGCAGTTTGATTTGTCAACTCATGCAGCCGTTTGAGCTTCTAAACAAAATCTTCAGGTCAATATAAAGGTCGATGATCGACTTGAGCATAGTTCAGTTGGTTAAGACATATAATCTTAAATGCAGATTTTCAACCCCACGTGTTATTGAACTTAAACTAAAAAAATCGGATTAGGATAGATATTCCTTCCTGCTTTTGAGATTCTTCAAAAGTTTAGAGAGATTACAACTTTGCCACTGGGCTAGGCAGGAAGAAATTATTGTAAACTATTTGACTATTTTACAGAAGATACATAAAGGCTTCTTTCTGATTGGTCTTCTTATCCAATCTCTCATTGTCTTAATTCAACCAAAAAAAAAAAAAAAAAAA